ATGCGGGTTGTGATGTACTTTGAACACATCACCCACTTCATCGGGTTGTGAGAACACCATAATAGATGTCTTCCATGACTATGTTTGTTATCAAGATGAGAACCCATGCACAAGCACAATGTTGTCGGAGTAAGACCTCATACACATGCCTATTCGGTATCATTGATTACATCCAAAAAACTGAAATTTACTTCGAGAATTATAACTTGCTTGGCTCTTTGTCGTAGTGCACATCCTCTCATGGAATTCGATACCGAGGGTCACTCTCTGGGGAAAAGGTAAAGGAACCTTCTACTATTCAAAACCTGGTCTCAAAGGGCCTAGCACAGGATGGGTCACATGGCCGGCTGTGTTGGGGTGGCATTTTTCGAGGGTTGATTGGAGGGTGCTCGGCATAGGCTGTTTGCCGAGTACGCTGCAGCCAACACTCGCCAACACATAGGCCACATTGTGCACTGGTGTTTGCCGATCACCCGTAAGTGACACACGGCAAACCGAGGTGGCACAGGGCTTCACCCTCTCAATTGAATGGCCGTCAAGGCACTTTATTATTATGGTGAGTAACCTCATCGAAAGCTTTGTCGAGTGCCATGACACTCACACTCAACATATACCACCTTGTCGAAAGGGTGCATGTCGAGAAATCTTTGTTGAGTGTGACACTCTGTGACTCCTTTGCTCTGCTGATTTCGCCATTCATGGAGTATTTTGCATACTAGCAAATGTCACGTTTCCTGTAGTACGCCGTGCATTTTTCTGATCATCATCCTAGCTCAACACACAATAGCGCTGGATCGTAATGTTGGAAATGGAAATCCACATACTAAATCATTGCCCCTAGGAACAACACAAGTACAACAAATTGTTCGATAAATTTTACTTTAAAAAGTACTGGAAATCCGGAAAAGATACATGCGACGCCGCACAAACACAGAAGTGTGTTCTTCGGGTAATAGTGCACAACATCAGCGAATTGAACGACAAAACCAAAGGTTTAGAAATGTAAAAATGACAAAGTAATGGATATGGTACTGGATCCGGAGGATGGACCGTCTCAGTTGAATCCAGTAATGTCAGGAAATCCCCGGAGGCCATCTAGACGACGTTGATGTCGTCCGGATCATCGATGCCACCGACGCTTGTGCGGCCCGTCTCGCTGCTATAGTAGCTGCCACCAGGACCGAGACTCTTGAGTAATTGGGACAGGTTCATGTTCGCGCATGCATCCTGCCCCTGTAGGCGCTGGCTAAACATTTGCTGAAATGCCGGCGGTGGTCCATAGTGCAGCAGGTTGTTGGGCGGGAAGGACGGGGAGGAGTTGTATCGCTGCTGCATCTCACCGCTGTAGGTATTGAGTTCTGGCAGCAGCGAGCTCAAGTTCATGGTCGCTCCCTGGGACGATGATCCAGGCACATAGCTTGGGTGGAGGTACGTACCCATCCCGGGTAGGCTGGAGACGGCCAGCATTGCAGAGGCACTTGGAACGACCTGGCCGCCACTCCCGAGGCCGGGCGGCGGAGCGGACGACTGCGATGGTGATGCCGCGCTCTTGTCACCCGTGATTGTGCTGCGGATGTACTCCTCGAGGAGGGAGAACCGATGCTTCCTGAACCGACTCTTCGATGTTAGGCCCCGCTTTGTCCCGTACCAATGATTCTTGATGGAGTTCTCCGATCGACCGAAGAGGCGTTTTGCGATCTTTGACCAACTGTTCCCTAAGGTCTTGTGCTCCTCGATCAGCTTCCTGTCCTCCTCCTCGGTCCATGGGGCTTGATTCTGGAATATGATTATGTGAAGCAAAGTTAATTAATGCTTCCATATGATTGGAACAAACAAGTGTACTTGAGTATCAAACTGAAAATATTAAATATTGCCATCCAGAAAAGTTTGTTGAACTGTTGGACAGGCTAGGCCCAAAATTGCCATCTAACTTTTTTTTTGAAGATTGTGTGAACTGAAAATACCAAAAACAATGGATGCAATTTGGCACGAGTATGATGCAAAAAAAATTTCTATTCCAAAAAAATAAAATGTTAAAACAAAAATTCTTATAAAATTTCCAGGACTCTAAAGTGCCATCTAAAAAACCCTTAAACAAATTACTTAAAGTTGCATGGCAAAAAAATTGGGTTATCATAGTGATATACTAAAATAAAAAACCATGTCAACACATATAGTCACAAAAAACACCATGTCAATAAAACACTTAAAATGGTATGGCATGGTATTTTTAGCATTTCACAAACCTAGAATACCATATCAACACATATAGTCACAAAAAAATATTTGTCATCTCAAACAATAAAGGTCAAGATTTTTTTGTTTTCTAAAAACAAGCATGCTATTCATATAAGAAAACTTAATATTCATTATATGTAGCAATAAGCATGCTAGTCATATAAGAGAGAACTTACCATGAATATCTAGATAGTACTTTCAGCATGGACATGTTTGAAAAAGCCATTCTATGCAACTATAGGTTGCGAGAAAATAGAACAAAATGAAGTTGCCATGCTATGTAAAAAATATTGCCATGCGATGTACAAATCATGTGACATGCTATATACAAAGGATTTGCCATGCCCCGCATAGATAAAAGTCTGGTTTTACCCCTACCTATCCCCATATCCAAAAATTTGACGTCAGTATGAAAGAAAGATGAATCATGTGCTACTAATTAAAGTTGCATCCTAAATAACATTTTTTAAATAATTAACGGGTAAAATAACATCATATTCAAATTCTACACATTTTTAAATCAAATTCCTTATATAATATGTTAAAATTAGAGTTAGGGTTTAAAAGATATGGTTATTTTTTAGAAGTATTTATTCTAGAAGGATCGCAGGTTGATTAACCAAATATTGGGGAGGGGGTGTACACATTCAGAAACATGACTCGTTTTTTAGTGATTTAAAGTTGGATTGCAATTTAATTAGCAGAAAGGAGGGAGTTTTCTGTAAAAAAGCAAAAAACGATACGTTTTTCATGTGACTTAAAGATGGACCGCGGGTTTATTACTGGAAAATGCAGGGATTTTTTTGTAAATCATGTGAGAGACGGGCATAAGCACTTCTCCTTTCATTAGTAGGTATAGATATATAGACATCTCAAACTTAGCTAAACTAAAGTGGCCTAACTAAAACTTGACTAGTAGGCAATTGTGGCACATATTTACTAGAAATTGAATGATTTTTCAGAACCTCTTCAGATGGCAAGGTGCTCCGACAATTCACATGGTATATATGAATTAATTATCTATACAACAAAAACAGAGCTAAATCCCCATACATATAGTGAGGATATATATATGCAAGTTTCTCAAACTTGGAGGGGGCCATGGCTCCCCCTCAGCCACCCCTAGCTCTGCCACTACCGAAGACTCCAGAAACTCGTGTTATCGAAATAAGGAAGAAAGTAATATTTGACATCTATAAACGACAGGGGACATTAATCGGCCGTACCATCTATTAATTTTTTCCCAAATATACGAGTAGAGGCTGGAGATACGCAACCTCGATCGGTTTTTAATTATTTTTATTTTTACAATCATAATATAACAAAAACAGAGAGCGCAGATGGCATGTGCCACTAGAATTTCTAATCCTTTAGTCTAAATTGTTTTAGTTAGAACATAGTAAAAACTTAATAAAACAAATTAGACATCCAAATCATATATAGATCCATGCAAGATCTCCCCTAATTAAAATAAAGATTATAAATCTCTATGCATGAAAAGAATGACCAAATAGACCTTGAGGTCGGGTTGCAGGTGATTTTTCCAGCGCTCACGGCATTGCTTCCCAATCCGTCCTGGGAGGTCTTTTGAAATCTCCTCCCATCTCCCATTCCCATAATGAGCCACCAATCTCTTGAGAAGTCTGCAAGCAAGAAAGTACATTAATCAACGAAATTAAGAAGAAAAACATGCATGCCGTGAGATCAAGCTACTGGAAAAACAAAACAGACTTAGCTATTTCACATACTCGTCCTCTTTTAGCGTCCACACTCCTTTGGAAGGCGCCACCGCTCTACTGTTCTTCGTGGAATGCTTCTTTTGCCCGACCGCGGGGATCTCCATCGGGACCACACCAGTGCCATAACCGGCAACCGGAAGGGGACCCTGCGGCATGTCGAAGGTGAAGGGAGACACACCGAAGCCGGAAATGGGCGATCCCATGTCAGGAGCTCCGATCGGAGTTGTGCCAACTTGCTGGAAGTGCAAAAAACCATGGCTGGAGCTCGGGAAGTACTCTTCAACCCTCCCTTCCGCCTCAGTCATCATGGCCGCCGCCGCCTGCTCCTGGTTGAAAAGCATGTCCACCGGCGACGCCATGGGCTCGATCGAAGGTTGGAACCAAGCCAAGAACTGCGAAGGGGGTGGGATTTTGAAGGGATCAGGTGAGAGAAAGGGGGGGAGTATGATAGAGGTAAAAAGGCAAGTCAATGTCGAGATCTAGGACGCGCATAATATAGAGGGGGAGCTGCCGCTTTAGCCGTTCATCTCCGGCCCCACTTTCACCGGATGGTACAAAACTGTCCAATATATAACATTCCAAATACACACATTTTGTGAATCGGTTCACGAGAGAGGTGAAGGTCGGCCGTTGGATCCCATCACTGTCCAACTCTGTCTCTGTGGTCCGTGTACATGAGGTGCAACCAGTTGTCTTAGGAGGCCAACTATTGCACAATGGGTTCTAGCTAGCTATCGGTACAACTCACTAGAGTAAGAGCAATCTGGGTGACAAATTTGTTACATCTAACAGAGAGGCTTTGGTCCACACAAATTTCCAACTCTTTGTGTGTTTGTGTGCGCATAATAGGCTCTTGCAAGTGGAATCCCTATGGTAAATTGCTCTGACTATTGATCTTTGCTTCCTATCAAATAAGTCAAAGTCCTACAATTAGAAGAAAATTGGTCATCTAATCTGGCACGAAAGCCATGCGGCTAGCAGGTCAGTTTTCTTCTTGACCGCCTGTTTTTAGTAACTGCTTCCGTTTATCACGCTAGCCATACAAGATATATTTTGTTTCCTAAAATCACTTCCACAAATGATGAGATGTAGTGGGGCCAACCTTAGTGGAGGCCAACCTGAGCCATCACCCCTAGCCCATGAGATTTGTTCAGATTATCCTAAGTAAATGGCCCATATAATCACTGAAATCAAACTCAAGCCTGGTGTTTAGCCCATTGACTCTCCTAAGATGTGACACAATGTAACAACCCGAGACCGATGCTTGAGATGCCTTCCATATATTCCATTATCACCGTGTTAATTGTTTGTTTATTGCATTCATCATCATATCATTCGCATTGCATCGGCACTCCGTTGTCGTCAATTTTTTAGAACTTGCATCTGTTTGTAGTTGTTAGTTCTCCCCATTGTCTTGGTGGACCATTCTAAGATCACCCACCCTTGCACGTGACCGACCTGCATAGCAAGACCCCCCTTTACAACCTCGCGTGAAAACTGCCCTAGACCCGAATCGGACGGTCATGACCAGTGGGTCCGGATCAACCCTGAACATCCCCAAACATCTTCAATTTCTTATTTGGACTCCCCTAGCCCATTTATCTCGACAAACCGATCTAAATCGGAGGGTCCAAACCTAGTCCTATTTCCCATATATAGACCACATACTTCGCTAACCCTAAAATCGAGCTATCCCATCCTTCCCACCAGACCCACCGCCGCCACTCCACCTCATTTTCTCCACCCATCCAATCCACCTCCCTTGATCCTTTCCCAGCCAACCACCTTGATACGTCTCCAACATATCTATAAATTTTTATTGTTCCATGCTATTATAGTATCAATCTTGGATATTTATTATGCAATTATATTTCATTTTTGGGACACCTAGTGAAAGTGCGTTATATCGACTAGAGGGGGGGGGGTGAATAGGTGATTTTTATGAAAGTCTTCAAAACGTGGAAGTTATGAAGACAAACGATAGAAATGAACCTAATACCCTGCAGAGGAAGGTAGACTACACTAGGAAAGCCATAGTCAAGTATTCAATAGAGTGAAAGCACAATGACTAATAGCAGCAATGTAGTAAGGATCAGGTAGGAAGATATTGTGAAGCCACACAGAACACGCAGTCACTCAGTGAAGACAAAAGATAGTGCGAACATACAATGACTTCACAAGGAGTAACAGTAAGTAAAGGGAAGGGAAGATGAAACCAGTGACTCGTTGAAGACAATGATTTGTTGGACCAGTTCCAGTTGCTGTGACAACTGTACGTCTGGTTAGGGCGGCTAGGTATTTAAACCTTAGGACACACAGTCCCGGACACCCAGTCTTGAACACGCAGCTCAGGACACACAGTCCTCACCATATTCCCCTTGAGCTAAGGTCACACAGACCTTGCCCAATCACTCTGGTAAGTCTTCAAGGTAGACTCCCAAACCTTCACAGACTTCGTTCACCGACAATCCACAATGTCTCTTGGATGCTCAGAACGCGACGCCTAACCGGCTGGAGGATGCACAGTCCTCAAGTGTAATAAGTCTTCAGATCACACAGACAAGAAGACTTAAGTGATGCCTAATTCTCTGTGACTCTGGGTGGTTAGGGTTTTATCCTCGCAAGGAATTCTCTCTCAAAGGCTTCGAGGTGGGTTGCTCTCAAACGACAAAAGCCGTACTCTGAATCTGAGCAGCCAACCGTTTATGGTTGTAGGGGGTGGGCTATTTATAGCCACTTGGCAACCCGACCTGATTTGTCCGAAATGACCATGGGTCACTAAGGAACTGACACGTGTTCCAACGGTCAGATTTCGAACTCACACGACAACTTTACTTGGGCTACAAGCAAAGCTGACTTGTCAGACTCTGGACAACATTCGCTCTCATAGTCTTCACTCGAAGACATAGGTTTTGGTTAGGCATCACTTCATTCATTCTGACTGGTTCTCTTGGACCCCACTTAACAGTACGGTGGTTCCTATGACTCAACACAGAAGAAAGAGAACTACAAAAGATCTAAGTCTTCGAGCTCCATAGGCTTCATGTGGTGTCTTCTCTTGTCATAGTCTTCAATGTGAATATCTTCATATACCACCTTTGACTTCAATGTCTTCATACATTTTTAGGGGTCATCTCTGGTAGGAAAACCGAATCAATGAGGGACTTCTACCCGTGTTATCCTGCAATTCTCACAAACACATTAGTCCCTCAACTAGGTTTGTCGTCAATACTCCAAAACCAACTAGGGGTGGCACTAGATGCACTTACAATCTCCCCCTTTTTGGTGATTGATAACAAACTAGTTGAAGTTTTCAACGGGGAATATAATCTGTGAAATTGTAAAGGAATTGTCTTCATAAGTTGCAAGGGCTCTCCCTGAAGATGTGCATATAAGTAATTTGCGTTTGGAATGCAAATGCACATGGCAGGTTGTACTTGTGGAGATCCACTTTAACTTATGATGACAATCCACTATGCATGTGAAAGTATATGAAGATAATGACATGCATAATGGAAAATGGACGTCTGCAGAATGATCTAGGTGCGGAATTTATCGTCGCACATGCGGAATTTATCTTCGCAAAACAAAGTGGCAGATAAGTAGCAGACGACCATCAAGTTTAAGTGTTATAACTCAAAGAACCAAATGTAGCAAAACGAGAGCTGTAAGCACGAAGCAAAATATAAAGCACCTGCCCATATGGACCCGCTTGAAGACTATCAACCTCATATGCTTCTCCCCCTTTTGTCAGTAATGACCAAAAAGGTTTGAAGACATAGAGCATCTACTCGTTCCCATGCGGAGTAGGTGAAGTAGCAGGGTCGTCGGTGGTGTTTGGCGGTGCTGACGAGCTTGGAGTAGAGTTGACGCGTCCTGAAGAAGGTGGCGGTGAAGTAGCATCGTCTTCCTCTTTGATAACTCTGGCAGTCACTGTGGCAGCAGATGAAGAGAACTTAGAGTCTTCAAGAGATGGAGTTCCTAGCAGCACAACCCTTCGAGGTGGTGTGGAGTCGAACTTGAAACGCTCAGTTAAGCCATCCTCTTGAAGATCAGCTTCAGAACACATCATCGATAGCCCTTTCCATGTGCGGAGACATGTTTCATGGGCAACGAAAGCATTCTTGGTGGCAAGATTTCGAATGCGATTAACATCCACCAAGAGGCTTTTCATCTGACGCTTCAGCCAGTCATGATGCCTATCCTGTTTCTGATGTAGAGCCACAAGAAGCTCTCGGTCGTTGAGAACGCGAGTGCGCTTCTTGGGTCTTGGAGCAGTTGTACTGTCAGTGGCTTCAGTGGAAGCAGGGCGTGGTGCACGTGTAGTGCCAGCCAAAGGATACACCCGAGAGACTGCTTCAACTCCTTCAATGTTCTGTGTGAAGCTCTGGTGTTCTGCATTCTGAAGACTTAGAGGTTGCTTGGCAGGCTCAGAATATATGGCTTCAGTAGTCATATCCACATCAGGCAAGAAGATCCGATGGTTGCGGGCTGAGGGCTGTTATGAGATGGCAGAGTGTAGCTTGATCAGCCACATTACCCAAGGGGCGTAGAACTTCAAACCAAACAGATCAGTGCCTGATGCAGCAAGTTGGTGTATGAAGAAGTCCTGTGCATTGAAGCATTTGCCATGAAGTATATAGAAGACCAAGGTTTTCATCGCACCCTGAAGCTTGGCATTTGGAGAGTGCCCTTTGATGGGCCAGAGAGTTCGCCGGATGATGTGATAGATGGTTCTTGGCAGATACTCAAGGTCTTCAACGAAGAACTCTGTGGGATAAGCAGCATCTTGAGGCAATGGCTTCATCATGCTGAGCATCTGACTCATACCAGGTTCAGGCCTCTGAAAGATGCTCTCAATAGCTTCAGTATGCAGCTGACAGCCTTGCTCGAAGAGATCGCCAGGAGTGGGCAAGCCAGTGAGCTCAATGATGTCAAATGCATTGGCTTCGTGATGAACATTGCCGGTCATCCACTCCAGGACCCAAGTCTTCGGATCTCTGCTGTACCCACGGATGTGAAGTGTGGCATAGAATTGGAGCAGTAGCTCTTCATTCCAATGCTCTTGGTCAGTTATGAATGGCAGCAGTCCAACTTGCTTGAAGCAATCCAAAGATTCTTCTAGACAGAGCAGACCAACTATAGCTTCAACGTCAAGGCGCTTGTGTGGGAAGATGTGACCTTGGTTGTAAAGAATGCATGAGTAATAGCTTCACTGAGGATAGCTCTAGAACCGATCAGATGATATCTATTCCCTTGAGTAGGGGTTCCTGGAGCTATTGAAGAATGTGTTGTCTTCCCTGAAGCCATTGATGTTGAAGGAGCCAAGTGCTGATGCAGGACCTGGGAACCTTGGCAG